TGTTGTTGTTGTTGTTGTTGTTGTTGTTGTTGTTGTTGTTGTTGTTGGTTTTGTTGGTTGTTGGTTGTTGTTTGTTTGTTGTTTGTTGTTGTTGTTGTTGTTGTTGTTGTTGGTTGTTGGTTGTTGGTTGTTGGTTGTTGTTTGTTGTTTGTTGTTTGTTGTTTGTTGTTTGTTGTTGTTGTTGTTGTTGTTGTTGTTGTTGTTGTTGTTGTTTGCTTGTGTCTTTCCTTGTTTGCGATTCTTTAGACCATGGCTCTGTAAACAAGGAGACCAGCCTGGAGCTAGCAATTTGTTCACCAACTGTTGCCTTTTGGGTTCTCTACAGCTCTGTCATTCTATCATCATACCTTGGGTCCACTTCCTTGAGTCTCTCATAGTAAGTCCCAATGGCAATTACGTGAGTCCCAAATCTCTAATAGCCGAAAATCCTGTAGGGAAAAGATATCATCTGCCGGGCCATGTTGTTTGTGAGGAACCAAAGCACAGCATCTCACCATGCCAACCAAGCCTGAAAGGGCCGACGTCCCAACATCATCTCAAAGATCACCACACCCAGCGCCTTGCAGATCAGGAAACGAGGAAACCGAACAAAGTAAAACTCATGTTTCAATTCTTTTTTAATGTCTATATATATATACAGCAAATGGGGAGGGGCCACCCGACGAAATGCGATGAGATTATGCCAATCAATCACGACCCCCTGGAGGGGGCACGAGGGAAAGACATTCCTAGAGGGCCAACGAGATGCAGCGGGAAAGGGAAACCTCAGAGACACCAAAAGGCATTGGAAAGACCTTAGAGACACCAGATACCGGTGATTGGCAACATCAGAACCCCGGCGTGTTTCTGAAACACACTGGAACTGGAGACCAATTCGGACACAGGGACAGATGCCACCAGCGATATTGGAGGAACTTTGTAACAGGTATAATTTATGACATTGAGACTCTGAAAAGAAACAGCCCTGGTCTTTCGGAGTTGCCAAATATCCAAAAGGAAGAGTGGCTCAAACCTACGTACTGTCGTCTTCCTTTGCTTCTAGGTTGGAGAAGATTCCTATTAGATTGGAAGCCCCTGTTGTCTAGTTTGTTTCCGTGTTTCTATTTCTAAGGCATCAGCCCACAGATCGCTCTTCTCGGTGAGATGGCCCTGTGACAATGTCAACTCAACAGCTGCAAAGGATGCACAAGGGAAATCAAGGGAAGACCTAACACCTTTCTGATAGTGTCCTTGATTTAAAGAAACAATTCTTGGAGAGGGCACAGAGAAGTCTATAGGATACTATAGGATTCTATGTCTATATACATATATAGAAAAACGACAAAAGAAAACATGAACAAAGAAAGCCAAAACATCGGTTTCCAATTCTTTGTGCTTCGACTTCAAGGTCTAAGGTCTCAGACCAGCCTAAAACTTCATTCCTCGAAAAGCCTCGCCCCAGCCTCGAAACCCTCTGGTGACAAATACACTGCAGTGCCGCGGACCATCAAAGGGCCCCCATTCTGTCGAGCCTGGCATCAGAGCTCACGAAAGGAAACTCCACATCATTGTATGTTCGAAGGATGAATGATGTCTGTATAGCAAAGCGGTCTTGTGTAAAACATTCTCATAGCTCCACGTGACCCTACGTGTCAGACTTGTGCTGGTCTTTCTTCATCCTTCGTGTGGTCCAAGTGCTTCACCCGTTCACCCATCTCGACTTCGGCCACCGACGTCAAGCCTCGACGATCTCAGCCAGGCCAAAGTCCACCAACACCAAATGTGGAGCTTCATTCCTGCACTGCAAGCAGTCATGCAAACAACAGGTCTGCCAAGGTGTTCGAAGTTTTGGCGGTGTTGAACCCGGAAAAATACTGACATCGAATGCCTTGACTTGACCGTCATAAGAATAGGTTCGAAGGACAAGGAAAGTCCTCATAACGTAGTGATTGTGGGCGGCACTATCCAAGTTGCTCTCTGAAAGGTTACTGTAGTCCGCAACGTCCTATGACCTATCCTAGCAGCTACATGCAACTACCTTTAACTTGACCAGATCTGAACCGTACAGCGAACATCGTGCTCAGTGCGTTGGAGTTTCCCAGAAAGCACCAGAATTTCCCAATGTCCTAGATCATCCATGACCACCGTACAATCAGTGACAATCTTCAATCATTCCAATGAATTGCACCTGTTGGGGTCGGTGGGGCGCAGCAGCATGGCGTTCTCGGGCTTCAGATCGCAATGGACCACTCCCTGACTTTTGAAGGAGTTTCCATAACGTGACAACTGCGTTTGATTACGATATGTAATATGTTTAAATATATATATATATATGGTACCCCAAAAATATAAGTCTACCAAATGTTGTTTGTTTGGAAAATATATATCTTTTGAGGGGTACCATATATATATATATAATCAAAATATCTACAGAGCGTACTTAAGATTAATTCCAGAAGTCAGGGAAACATCCAGAACAAACATTTGCAAGTGGTTGCAAACGAAAGCAGTTTCGACTGTTCAAGATCCATCAAGATCCAAGATTCAAGATCCAAGGTTCAAATTAAATGAGAAAACACAATCAATGCCAGTAATTATAATAGTTCAGGCAAAGAAAGCATATAAAAACACATCAAAAGCCATGTTCATTGTCAACCAACAAATGTTCAATCCTTTACCTAAATCCTACTTTAAGGAAGTTGATATTGACATCCTCAACCAATGTAGAACAATCCCACCAGCTGGGAAACTTCATATACAACTTTCTTTACAACAGGGAAGCACACTTGGAAATAACAAGAAAGGCGCACACCTACTGTTTAGGCTAGGGGAAACAGTAACATATATCTGTCTTTAATGAGTTTGATGTATGGAAAGCCTATATGTAACTATAATAAGCATCATTTCAATGAGCTGGGAATGCTTATGAGGGTGATGCAGGACAATATAATTTTGAAGGAGGTTACTCACGGACAGTTTAAGATTAAGGATTGCAAAATCATGATATTGTTCAAGTTGAAAAAGAAACGGCCACCGAATACTATACGCTAACAGTATCTAACAAAAAGACTATCAAGCATTGAAAAATGGCTTGTAATGTGGCAACGTTCTTCGTAATCAGATTGATATGGTTGCATGTGTGGGGACCTGTCAGCCATTGCAAGCCTTTGCAAACAGTTCCTGTGGCAAATTTTATTCCAAGTAGTGCCTGATCGAAGATTCAAGATTCAACATGTCTCGAAGACACTCCAATGCTCACAAAACAGGCAAGAGAGGTAATTGGACTTTTCAGGGGGTTAGCATATTCTATATACACATAAAATAGATAATAGTAGCTCTTGGGGTGGAGGAGGGTAATTTGTGAGTTGCCAATTAAATTAAGTCTATTCGGTGCCCACACATCACTGTGTCCATAGAGCGTTGGTGTGAAGCAATGTGAAGTGTCAAATAGATTGTTGCCTTTGCAAATGTTTACAAATTGTTTGAAGTGAGCTCAGAAAAGAAGAGATCTCTCGATCTTGCGTTCCCCACCTTGAAATGGATGTACTCCAAGGCGGCGCACATCTGCCGTGCAGCTGTACAGGCCCATGCCTCCGAGACCGTCCTCATCAGTGGATGGGCAAGATATTGGTCTATTGCTGCCGTATATAGAAGCATCCGTGGGTAGAACAAACAAGATGTTGCACGTTTAGCTAGGTTGGTGTTGATATGACAAATGCCAAAGGATAACACAAATTGGCAGGCAAACAAATACAGTAGGCTGCTGGATCGGAACCAAATAAGACTTGCAGTTAGATGTGTACAGTATATATATATACATATATGTGTGTGTGCGTTATCAGTTTCTCTGAAAAAGAAACCAAAAAAGCAGCAGATCAGTCAGCTGTCCTGTCGTTGGCTCTTTGTGATGACAAAACAGCTGCGAGGGTACCACCCTCGCCCGCAGCGATGGATGCTTTGATGTTGATTTGTGCATTGTAAGTGATGGATACTGTATGTCTACATACAGCACCAGCAACATGTATTATTGAGTCATAGACGCATAGAGTTAATGCAATAATCAGGTCTACCCAAGCAATAATCAAAAATCCTTGTTCCATCATGTTCCATCTTGTTCCTGGTCGCTGCGGACTGACTCACATTCTTCAATCTCAGGAAAGAAGATCTACTACTGGCCACTGGTTGTGTTGCCATCGTTGCCTTCTGCCGCCGATGTGTCTAATCTACTGTGCCTCCGCCCAGTCCATGACAATGTGCAGCGTGTCATGCCTGGGCGAAAACGCGGGTTCCGCAGCAAGGCGTCATAGCGGGACGGACGCGGAAGAAAGACGACGCATGCGGGACGGACGCATGCGCCTTTCGAAGGCCTCGTAGATGCGAATCACGTGAGGATGGTCCAAGGCCTTCAAGACCTTCACCTGTCCAGATCCCAAATAGCATATCCCAGGGCGGCACAAACTTTGGAACTCAGCAAGTCTTAGCTTAAATGCAAAGTAAATGTTCCTCCATCTTAGGCACCGCTCACAACAGATCGCTCAGACGGTCTTTTCTCAGCTGCATGCTGTGGCGTGTCTGCCCCGAGAGTTTAACGAATTGAAATGGCTAACCCTCTGCAGTGGCGGAAAAGATGTTCATGGGCGAAGGAAAATCAGTTCTTAGGTATTGTCTAAACACTGTAGGCCACCAGCCCTTTCTTTGTAATGATAGCTGTATCACTGATCTTTCAACTGTGCCAACAGACTCTCTGCCGAAGCCCGGCCAACGAAGCCCTGAACGAAATTGCGATCGGGAGCTCTGCAGACCAACTTCTATCAATGTGAAGTGGCCCTGTGGTGCACTGCTGGTGACCCCACAAGAAATAGTATATATGTCTCACACCGTCATTGCGTGCACCTGTGGGATCGCTTGGGTAAATTAAATGAACTTATCTCTATATATATATACAAATATATGCAGAAAAGTATGCAGAAACAAGCTCGGTGGTGTTCAGTAAGGTTCCATCCGTACGACACTTCCGCTGTGGGGTCAGCGCGATGTTGTGCTCATTTGCACAGTGAAGAGCTCGAAAAGTTTGAAGAAAGTGTTGCAGCTTTTCTACTCGATCAGATGCTGCAGGTGATGTGTCTGATTCCTGGCGGCGGTGTGGCTGTTCTTCCCGCATATGTTACATACCCAAGCTCAAAACAGATTTACAATTCACTCTCAGACATTCTCAGACCATCTTCAAAGATTTCTGTCAGCTGATATCAGGAGCCATCAACAACAAAGAGATTCCAATGGTCTACTACTGCTTGGGGGATCGATTACTTTAACATCCTTGGAGGAAGGACATTTCACGACAGAACATGATTCTCCAAAGTTCCTCCAGAATGCAGCTGCACTGAGCGCCTGCAAAGCGGCAAATGTGCTGAAAGCTGTCAACAAGGATGTTGGTGGGTTGTTCTTTCCACTTGGCATGTTAACTTCCATTTGAATTCCTGTTACCAAGCTTGGGAAACAGCAGTTCCAGAAATCTTGAACCCAGCATTCAAAGGAAAGCGCTTGAGTTTAAAACTAATGAAGTCTGAGACTTTGTCAGGCTAATTGAGCTAATACGATGATATAACAATAATATGATATAACATAAGAATATGTCATTGAATCATTGCAATGGGCCTTCTGATCATTTAGAGCTTTGCTGCTGGCTCCAATCCCTGGTAGGTCTTCATGGTGAGGTTGTCCACCGGCAGCGGCACGATGTGGTCAGCCAGGTTGGTGGTAATGACATGCTTCTCTGTGATGGAGGGGATGTTGGGAGTACCGGCCAAGCGCATGACCATCTGCAGCTCATCCTGCAGCATGTGGACCATGCGGACGATACCATTCTGGCCGTAGGAAGCCAAGGAGTACAAGACTGGACGTCCAACTCCGCAGGCTTGAGCACCCAGGGCAACAGCCTTGAAGATGTCACCGCCACGTCGAACACCACCGTCAATGAAAACAGCAAAGGTCTCCTTGGTCGCCCCTGCCTCCTTGAGGGCTTCCATGACCTCAGGCAGAACCTCAATACCAGGACGGCAAGTGTCCAGCTGACGACCACCGTGATTGGACAAGACGCAGCCAGACAAGCCAGCCTTGAATGCCATCACTGCATCTTCCGCGCACTGCACACCCTTCAGCAACACCTTCATGGAAGTGATCTTCTTGAGCCATGGCACGTCCTCCCAGTTGAGGCCAGGATCGATGTAGCTGCTAATGGCGCGGGTGGCGCCCTGAGAACGGTCCACACCACCCTCCTCCTCCTCATCACCCTGCACATCAGATCCCTGCTGGGTGAACTTGTTGCGCATGTCCTTCTCACGTCGCCCGAGCTGAGGAGCATCCACGGTGACGAACAATGCCTGGACACCAGCCTTCTCCAGTTTGGCGACATACTCCTCGGACCGAGACCTCTCAGGGTTCACGTAGAGCTGAGAGAACACCACCTGGTCTGGTGTGCGCGCGGCCAACATCTCATCCAAGGTGTAGGAGCTCAGGGTAGGCAGCATGTATGGGACACCCGCCTTCTTGGCTGCCTGCGAACAGACAAATGATGAAAGCAGACTTGGTTTGATCATGTTTTATCAACACAGATCTGCCACAATGCTGCAAAACTGTGATTGGAGAGGAAGGGCTTGCGTCTTCTCATATACTGTCCCTTGCATTAAAGCAAGCCTTGACGATTGCAAGCTCACCCTCCTGGAGGATGGAGTTGAAAGTCTGTGCACTTGATGTGTCAAGTTGCTCAATCAGAGCAAAAGCAAACCGCAAATCCAAGAATTAACCCATCAAGTAATATATATGGATCATAATATGCTGCCTAAGTGCGCATCTAACCACAACTCAAATATTTATATAACAAGTGGCACATGTGTATCAGCTGTTTGTGGCGCGTAGGAACATGAGAGCGCCACAATTGTTTCCAGAGCGGTCCTGGTGTGCCAACTTTGCCAAAGCAGTTGCGGTGAAGTACAACGGCAAGGTGGCAGGGACGTTCAGAATCTTCCTGATCACAAGACGCAGAGAAAAAAGAACAGTTTACACAAAGGCCGCAACTTCTAGAAGATCCTACAAGTGCATATCGGCCACTTCAGAACCGCATGGAATGATTCGTGGCGCCAATGTTCATTCCGGAGACACTACATGCGGGGAGACGCACAGTGTCGTGTGTATATATATATATACAACGAATCGACGGCCACTGCATGTTCATTTCAGCATAATGAAGCTGTTATCCAGACGGCTCCATCCATGCCAAGCGCAGGATCTGTTTCATCCTGTGTCTAACGATATGTGGGAAGACAAGTTGATGGTACTTTCTCATTGACATGTTGATTTTTTGAGTCTTTAAGCTCATAAAGATGCCAGGCGCTCTTCCAGCAAATGTCAAAATTGACAGCAAAGATTGAACTTACTGTAACAACAGTTGTGCTGAAGGCACAACAACAAGCGGTGCAACATCGCGCTTGCATAAAACCAAATCAGCACAACATGAAATCATCCAAGGATCGTGGTCATGTCAATCTCCCTCACGTTCACCAAAATACGAGGACGCATGGTGATACGCTGGAAAGCCAGGTGGTTGTCACGGAGGGTGATCTCATCATCGCCTCATGCAAACCATAGAACTGTGCTCAAGGGAATCGAACATCAAGGACCACCTGATCCAAACCCGGAAGACATCCCTAAAGACCTCCGATGGTCTTGGTAGTCTGCTTGGATCCGTTCTGCCACAGGCCGATCCGTTCGATGGACATGCACGTGCCGCAAATCGTCGCCAAGGTGCCACCGCTGGAGTAGTAGCCCCAGGCCTGTGGCTCCATGACCTGGCTACTAGTAACTTCTTGTTACTAGTAAGGCACTTGTTCCTAGTAGCGATGCACTTGTTCCTAGTAGCTTCTTGTTACCAAAAATCGTGTCAAACGAATTGTCCTCCTTTTTGGCCCCCTTTAAAGGGATCTTTTTGCCCAAGCATCAAGCACCTTTTGGTGTCTGGGAATCTTGATCCTTTCACAGGGATTGTGCATGATTCGAAGAACCCAGGAAGACTCAGGAATCACCATCAAGAGCTGGTTTGAGGAGAAAAGGAAGTAATGCCCCGCCCCATATCACACCTACAAAATTAAAAGCTGAATACAAAATAATACAGAAAACCTGTAGTTGAAACTGCCCAAGTTTGGTGTTTGGATGTGTTTGGAGCCATGTCGACATTTGGTGGGTGTCATTGCTTCCGGAGTGAAGGTCAGGGATCCGTCTCATCTTCACCTCGCGGGCGACTGACTCAAAGTCGAAGCTGTTGAGCATGGCCTGGCAAAATGGGCAAAATGGAGGCTGGAACGATCTCCTGGACATCAGAGCTGTCCAGTTGTTCCCGCGAGCTGGGTCTAGTCTTTTCCTTCCAATCCACATTCATGAAAGCAACATGCTGGATTCACAGCCAGGGGGGGGCTTCTTGAACTCTTCAACCTCCTCCTCTGCGGCATCAGCCTTAACCTGATGGGCTGTTGCTTAGAGTGAGAAGTGCGTGTCTTCTTAACAAACCTGCAAATCCTGAAGAATGCGAGAACAAGATGTCGAAAGTGTCTGTCTTCACTTCTGTCTGCGTGACTTTTTTGGTGCTCTATCACATGACATTCTGAAGCCAGTGTCAAAGGCTCAGACAGCCTTCTTCTTTGGCTTGGGCTTGTGCGCCTCCCAAAGCAACGTGCAAGCTGTGGATAGAGTTTCTGTCTAACTTCTGGCTTGGACATGAACCGAACAATCATGTTACAAAAACAAGATGTGATTTGAGTTGAGGTTGCCAGTTCGCAGCACAGTATTCTGTGCTTGTGATGGCGTAGATTGATGTCCGCAAAATTGAGGCTATGCACGACAACGGGCTGCGTTGCATCAAGGGCATTTACACATTGATAGAATCTCACGTTAGCTGCGACCTGAATTCTCAAATCACCTCTTGTGAATGAAACAGGATTTGAGAAGAAGACACGAAGAAGAAAAGGACTCGCATGAATCAAGAAATGACTGACTCATAATTCTTGATTCATTTCGATGTTTGGGTGGTGAAAATTGCAGAAACACTCGAGTCGGTTCTCCTGAGGTCCCACCCGAGCGGATTGCTTCGCCTCAGGAGGCTTGGCCACATGCTCGGGCTTGATGGTGGCAGCATCCACCACCTCAGGCAGGACTGGAGCAAAAAAGACGATAACGGCAGGGGCGGGCGGAATGCAAAGGGTGTATAGACTGTATAGAATTGTATAGAGGTGTCAATGTCACATGAAATTTGAAATAAACTGTCACTTCCCCAAACATCTGATGTGGCTCGAGAGCATCAAGGCTGAGGACAAAACGCCCATGGTCAGGGACGGCTTCAGGAGCTTGTCCATGATATCCTGCAGTTCTGTGTCGGAGTCAATGTGCTTTCTACATCCAATGCAGCAAACTCATGCCTTTCCTATACTGATCTTTGGTCCTTGGGGTGGATCGGATCGAAGATGGCCGTGGCGTCCATGCCGGCGGCGTCGGTAATGAGCTTGGCGCCGCCCGGATGGACCTTGGCGAACTTGGTCAAGTCGTAGGCCTGCGCGTCCCATGACCAGGCGAGGAAGGGGCGGTGACCGGACATCCAAAGTCCAACCGTCCCCCAGGACCAGCTGAGCAGCTGCGTGTGTGTCTGTTTACCACTTACCACTTGCAGTAACTTGCACCTCACATGCTTGTTTGTAGAACAATGATGGGAAATGACATGAAATGACTAAATAGTGTTTGTCCATTTGGAGGAATTAATTGAGTTATGCATAGTTATTCTGTCATTTATTATTGACAAGCTTTAGTAGCTGTTGGCAAGTTCATGTTCCACCTTGCCGTAGAGCACGACCCAGCAATCTTCCTGGCAGTGGTCACTGAACAACTCTGCTCATCTCATGCATTGTCATGCCGCATTCCATGCACAATGAATGCCTCTGGCTAGACGAGGATAATATGGTCTGTGTTGGCATCATGTTCATCCCAGCATGACGCGGACAGGGGAAGCAAATGGAAGCAGTGACCAATTGCCTTGGTGTTGTGCTTAGCAACTTCCTCCATGGTGAGGACCTACCAACGATGCTGGAAACCGAAAGCACGGTAGGCGCTGCATGTCTTGAGTGTCACACAGCTGTAAAACGGACACTGTGCCTTGTCAGAAGCCATGGCTACCAAGAGCGGTTACCAGCGGATGTCGGGAGGCTGAACTGTTGAAACGGCTACGCTGTCATACAAATCCTACGGTCCTACTGCAGGCGTCGTGTATCAGTGGACAACAGCCATGTCTAAAGCGGCCATGTCCACAACAACTGTCACAAAACAATGGCGCCTCATCCTCCGCCACAACGGCAGACACACTGAGCCGACACTTGTGGATGACTTTCACTGCCCTCTTCACTCCTGGCGCAAACGTTGACGGCACGGTCTCCTCCAGCAGATCTGACGACTACATATTGGCAGGGTTGCCTACAAAGTGCCACGTTAGAAGTCCCTTTGGCTTCCCCAAACAATTACTGTAACTGTACTGTCGGAATTTGGGTGCTGTTCAAGTCAACGTTCACCACTGCCATATTATGCGTACGGTCAAAGCCTCCAACAATGTCGGATACTCGGAGGGTGTCCTCCTGCATCCTCCTAAATATATTTTTTGATGTCTGTCACATGTCAAAGCTGTGAAGAGAGACGAGCCGAAGTGGCCTAGTGATCGGTGGAACATGGCGTAGACTTCGCCATATGCACCCTCGCCCAACAACGGACCTTGGAAGTACCTGGCAGAGAATAAGAGGGTGCGTGAGAAAAATCGACAAAAACACTGCTGCGAAAAAAATGCACAGCAAGTTGTTTTATCCTTCATGGTGTGCAATACAGCCGCTAGAGTATGTTACAAGCATTTACAAGCTATACGGTAGATTTCGTATGGACCCAACCTTTGAAAATGTATACTGGGCTTAGCCCCCTGCTATATCACATGTTGTTCTTGACCTGCTTTTTAGGCCCTCCAAGCTCTCGGTCCCGGGCTGCTCTTCGGCACCCAAATCCGTGTTCTGACGCCTGAGAGACAGGATGTCTGTGTCCGCGCTCACAGGTCAGTGTAGTTTATGCAAGCAATAGCACCAATAGCAGGGAACTGTTAGGGATTCAGGCTACAAAGAGTGTCGCTCCACCGTACCGCTAGCCTTAGCCCCGAAAAAAGGTGGAGCCGTAGATGAACATTTCTTTGGGGGGGTCGTGTGTGTGTGTGTAACCTTTGGAGTCACAAGGTTCCTGTTGGAGTGTGCTTCGTTGCCGTTTAATGTTTTATGCAGGGGATGCCAGGGACCCTGCAAGTCTGGAACTAACAAAGACACTTGCACTGGTCTGTGATATAGCTCCGGGACGCTGGAGCTACGTACCTGCTTTGAGAAGAACCTACGTAAGTGCAAAGCTGTCTCATTCTTTGTAGTGCAGTAAGCGTCTAATGCAGCGGCAAGTCACCTCGGCAGTTTCGTGAGCTTGAGCCTTGAACCTTTTTTCGAGAGCTTTGGCAATTTGGAAGCCTTTGCAGGTTTTATGGTCGCTAGGTCTTCACATGTTCACCCTGGCTTCTTAGGTTTTTCACTTAGGCTGGCGTGTGGCAAACCGCGACCAAATCAGTACGCATTTCTATAAGTTAGTGTGTGTGTATGGATATAATTATAGAGGGAGAGAGACAAAAAAAAAAGGAAGAAAAAAGAAAAGTTCAAAGGTCTGTAGAGACGAAGAAAATGATAAAAAGAAATGAATATAGGATGGTATGTGTTCTTTTCCACGTCAGAAAGACCACTTCCAAAGGTGAGCAGCCAATGTCTCTGTTTTGATAATTTCATTGTGAGGCTGGGCAAGCTGCAAAACGCCTTTAAATTGTATTTGAACAGAACAAGGGGGGTGCAGCACCGTTTTCAAGGTCGACCAAATAAGTAAAAAGTGGTATGAAGTCAAGCCATCATCTTTCCACTGAATGTTGAAGGTTTCTGGCAATGATGTTTGTCCAGAAAGTCTTGTACTTCCAATGTCAGATCTTGTGCCTTCGTACCATCATCTTCCTTGAGACTTTTTGCTGGCCGAGGCGAGCTTGCAACGCATGCAGCCACCTGGACATGGCTGAGCTGCATAAATGGCACTGTGTGAGCATCAGAGAAAGACTGGGCAGAAATGTAAACTATGAAGGACCATGCAAACGAAGCGCTGGAATCACAGATTCTGCAAATTCCAGCGAAGCATCGCCAAGCAAGTCTGTTCTTGCTGAAACCAGAATCTTCAGCAGAGCTGGTTTAAATTGGTGAAATCCTTGCGATTCACGGCCTCGTGAAGGCTTCCAGCCATTGCGATTCAGTCACATATTCTGGAGCCTGCGCTGAAGAGGCATGTTCGGAAACACTCCACTGTCCACAGTAGCAAGAGCTATCCACTATCCGCACAAACGGTCCCGAGCTGACAATCCAAGGGACACGGGACACGTGTATTTTCATAAATCCCTGCCCCTCCCTCTGTCTGTCAAACCAGCCTGAACACCTCCAATCGGCTTCAAAGGTCCAGAGCTTTCCCGTCGCAGCTGCGCCCAAAGCAAAGGCCACAGGCGTTGCGGGAAGCCCCATCGATCCTCAAGAGATATGATCTCAGTCTGCAGACTGCAGACGGTTACAAATCCCGTCTCACCCAACTCACCACAGTTTTGATTGGATTGGACAGATAAGCTGCTCAGCAACACTGCGACAAAACCGACCGTATCTCTCCCAGCCTCCAGAAGCTCAAGGAGTGGTGGCAGGTCTGCACATCTCCCCTTGAATCGGGCATAGAGCTTCACAGCCAGGGTCCTGTCCAGTAATGAACTCAGCAAGACTGGCACAAAATATAGAAAATTGCAGCAAGGATCCAATTCGTTGCAAATCATTATTCACCTTCGCTCAGAAGGATGCTACGAGCATAGATCGCACCAACAACATCCTTGTGGTCATTCGAAGAACTGAACACATTGCGGAGATCTTTGTTAATTGTGCCGCCAAAACTACACTGGCCAGACAAGAGTTGCGCTTCTTGAAATTAAAGCTCCTTACAAGCCTTTCCCATCCTTTCCCCCTAGAATCCTACACTGGGAGACCTGGGACGGTGTAGGCGGTCATTCTTCACACCGGCAAGCGGTTTAGATCCGTTTAGTATTACGTATTTAATTGGCCGTCCCACACTTGCCACAAAAATTGGACTTGTTAATTCGATCCGCAGCTGACCCTATAGTGCTTAAATATATGAACATGGTTATAAACTCCGGACTGAAGTGTCAAGATCAGTATGCCTCCAAAATTGCCCCAGCATGGTGGCGACTTCACTTCTGAGTCTCCCCACTTAGGACCCTCGTCCCAGGAGAGGAGCGTGCCAAGTCTCTCCTTCACGAACAGGGCTGTTACATTGCAGGGCCAGAGAAAAGCTCAACAAGATCTACGAAGCTAGGGAGATCTTTGAGGGTGAATATGAATAAATGAATCAAGATCGTTCTGCTTGCAATGTTTTTACATGTTTCGTGCTGTTACGACGAGGTCTGCTCTTCATGACAACCGATGTCTATCGCATCCATTCGCCTGTTGAACGCCGAAATCCAGAAGCCTCCGTGTGATCATTATCTACAGTACTTGTCAAGGCGACAAGCCCTCTTTTGCCGCCGGGGTTCTCTTTAAAAACTGTGGAGGATCAATTTCGGCTCTCGCCTGCAGCGTCCAACCATCAGCCTTCCGCTTCGAGCGTTGCTTCTCCACCCTCGGGCCTCCACAGCTCTGCCACGAAGCACAAAGTCGGACGATGCATCACCAGCCCTAGATTTGTCGCCAAGCACCAAAAGATTTTGTATGGATGGCAATAAAATGCAATAAGTAAGGGTAGCAAAGGAAGGCATGTCTGTAAGTAGTGTTCTTTAAGATGTAATTGCAGTGCTATTCTTGGTAGGAGGTCGAAGACCAGGAAGGATAGAAGCAGCACCAGCACCAATGAAACACACATTTATGAGTCAGCCCCAACAGCAGCGTCCGGCAAACGCCTTGAAGTGTAGTCTCTAGAGGGGAGCCATCCATGCGTAGGCTTTGCTGAGTGGTTCTTTCACTATCTTGAGTTGGCAGTGGAGCTCTGTGCATGCAGTGCAACACTTCTTGAATTGTGGATTCCACGGCGCATTCCCATCTGCCATGTATCTGGATCAGATGGCAGTCCACAAGAGAACATAGAGCAAAGGTGTCAAGCGGTTCACAGGCGGCATCGTTGGGACTGTCTTGTTGGATTGCCAAAAATAGTGTATATATATATATATATCTGGTGGATATCTCTCATTGAAGCTCTTGAAGGACATGTTCTTAAAGCGTTTTGTTTGATCCAAAGCTGCAGCTCTTCACAAGTCTTGGTTGGGAAATGATAAGCCCTATGACCTTATCTTAAGTTTGCGGTCAAAACCATTCTAAGTTTTCCAAGTACGAATCAGTACTGTGTATGTGCCACACACCTTGGGTATTCATATGAGCCCAACTCTTTTCTGTTTCTAGTTCCCAAGCCAAATAAGTGCCAAGCTCGCTTCATTGGATTTGGTTCAAACATGGATATGCTGCATGCTGCCCCTAGGCGTTCCTAAATCATGCTTGAAACCAGTTGACAACGTAAACCTCACAAGTTTGGGACTTAAATTGAGTGAGTGATCCTCTACATATATATATATATACATCTGCCAGTCGAAGAGAATTCGGAGAAAAGCAACTGCCTAAAATCACCAAAAACTCGAGTTCGGGGCAATGGCCACTTCGAAACCTGAAAACACTATATAATACGACATGGAGGGAGTGGCTTCTCATCAACAGCTTCTGGTGCCAGCTCCATCCTGCTGTGAGGCATGTTCAGCATGTCGCTTCACAAAGAACCACGCCAAAGGTTGAAGGAGAGAGTTTGAAGTTGTGCATCCTGCTTGAAACAAAAATAGTGATAAATATGTTGTAAAGGTGAAGGCTTTGCCAATGCCTTTCGGAATGCATTGAGGTGTGGGTGGAAGCTGGCCTCTCTTTGACGCGGTTCACACGGTCAGCGCTCCTCTGTGTCTCGAAGTTGAACACACGTGGTGCTCTTCGGCCTTAGCTGGGGTAGAGGACGCTACTAGGAGCAAAGGACGCTACTAGGTGCTCCTGGCCTTACTACTAGGAGCAAGGACGCTACTAGGAGCAAAGGGCATCGCTACTAGGAGCATTTCAACTGGGGTTGGTACTTGGTACATTGTCATATCAACACAACAAAGGTTCAGCAAAAGCTGCTGGTGGAATTGTCGTATCATTTTGGGATAAGTTAAAGCATGTTAAAGCACCATCCATGGAGGGAGTCCTGCACTTAACAACCAAAAACAATTGGCATGTCTTTGTACGGAGCCAATAGAAGCACGTGCCCCATCCTTACCACATTACTGAAAGGCCTCTCCTGACAGTGGAACCAGTAGGACAAACTTTGCACTGAGCATCCCCGGCTTTGACTAAGACCATTGAAGCGGCTGCGCAGCAAAGACAAAGCAGTCTGGACCTTGCAGTAACTGCTGCAAACAGCTTGAGGAGTACATGATTCAGCAGGTGCTGGTCAACATTAAAACAGTCAGTGTCTTCTTACATTCAAAATACTTCCTCTCTGTGGAAGTATTCTTCAAGGGGTTCATTGCTCCCCATCACTATTATGAGACTGAAGGGGTGATCCGAAGGAGGTTTAAAGACTGTTCACCCAGCGCGCTGTGAATGTCTTGGCCGTCTTTTGTCACCTCCGCAGCTCAGGGCTCGACGCTTTCCATCATGACCTTGCCCAATTGACCTGGCACGTTCTACAAACTTCTCTGAGAACCACGTGTGGCTCCAATGCAGGCCTGTTACGGTCAACTTGCCGCTGCCCACCTCAACAGACAAGACTCAAGGATCCTTCCATACAAGCCTGATCACGTAATTGCAAGTCCCAATATGTTAATCACGCATCTGTCAGGAAAGAAATGCAAAGTATATGAGTATTGCTTGGTTTCCCGCTCTCCATGTTTGATGGTTCTACACCAGCTGCGGCCATGTCTCAGTCTTGGTCGTCTCAATGAAGAGCAACTGTCCACCCACAGAGGAGACGCTGAGCCCCATCGACACGCCTCACCCCCCAAAACCTTGAAATCATATGAAGCACGTGCCGTGATTGTGTACATCTCCTAGAATGAACACCCGGTCTTCGTGACTCCTAGCTGCCAGTGGGTCCTTTTCCGACCTGTTGTCCGTCCAGTTGCTGTTGGTGAAGCAATCTGTTGTGAAGAAAGGATTAGTTTTGATGGCCGTCTGCGACCTATCACAGTCCATTCATTCATAGCCAGTATATGCTCTGGTCAGTCCACAGCTCTCGCAAAGATCAACATGATGGATATGCAATACATTATGTATGCTGCAGATATGCTTGCTTGACTTGCGACAGAGCTAGAACACCTGTTTCTGCTGAGAAAACCTCAATGTGAAGGTCCTGATTGCTTCGTCGCTCCAGTGTGGCTTTGTCACACCTGCAGTGAATGTGGCTTTACAATGCTTTACATGTCCATCTGCACTCAATTCTAGCAAGCGCTCGTGTCTGCTTCAGGGCGAAAGATTTGAGCGCTGTGACCACTGTGATCGTGATGATGACGGCCGAGATGAGACAGGAGCTACCAAGAAGTCTTTCAGTTGCTGAAAGGACACCTGCCCACTCTTCAGAAATGCCTCGACTTGCGATGACGACCTTCAGGGGATCAGGAGGGTCGGCACAGTGACTGCAGGCAATGTGGGTGGGATGCTGGAACAGTCTGCTTGGAGTGCTAGTGCTGCAAGGGGACTCCCTTCAGTGCGTCATAGGGTCTAGAGTCACCACGCTTCTTTTCACATGGCATCACATGGCCCACGGCAAATACCAACAAAGCAGTTCCAGATCACCATAGATCACACACATTGCACTGTCACGCGGAAACTCATTATATAGTTCCCTCTTGCAAATGGAACACTCACCTGGGGTTGAAAAGAAGTTCCTCTGATCAGGCCCTGAACCTGAATTTGTGTTGAAATTGGCCGCCTCCAATCGGTAGATTGTCTCAATATCGTCTCTGCCAGGGGCATGGTTGTCACTTCTTGCACAAACAATAGAAGCTCTGTTTCGAGTTGGTTGAACCTTGATTGTTCATCTCCATTTGCGGAGGGATTGCATGAATATGTTGAAGTACCTGGTGGAGTTTGAAGTGCGTCAAAAGCAAAAGTAAATACCCCAAGATGGGTACTTTTGCAATAGTGGGATGAGTTTTGAAGGGAATGGTATAGATATCACACATCAAACATGTCACTTGTTCCAAGGGGTCCACGCAGCACACTCACCCACACCGCACCTACCTACAGGTTGCCAACTGTCCCCCAGAGGAGGGACATATTTGAGGCACCACTGACAGAAGTTGCCTCAGACCCGGCCTTCCACCGAGGTCCGTCGCTGCCCGCACACTATCAAGGAATGTCTCTGCCTCTGAGGTCGTGAGGATCCCATCATTGTTTGAATCGTAGCCTGAAAAGGCATCGAAAAGGCCAAACACGCTATCAAGTCGTACACCCCCGAGAAACAAACATTGATGGCATCGCTACTAGGAGCAAGGACGCTACTAGGGGCTCCTGGCCGTACTACTAGGATCAAGGACGCTACTAGGAGCAAAGGGACGCTACTAGGGGCTCGCTAATCGCCAGTCTGGCAAAATGTACGACCAATGCGGCATGATTTGAGGGCGCTTGGAAGTTGGTCGACTCCGCTTCGCTGTAGCGCACAGGTATCAAAGGAATCAAAAGAGGTACATTGTCAGCTCAGCAACTGGCAAAGAGCATGTGCAGCTCATCCTCAAGAGCATCTTGAAAGAGCAGCAGTGCTCCCGTAGAGAACTCACTAAAAGACAAAGTTCCATCTTTGTCTACATCCAGCACCTGGAAAGTTTTGGCCAAGTCATCATGAGGGATGCCGGCTGCGTCAAAATACGCAATGAGTTCGTCAAGAGTGATCGTTCCAGTGCGATCCTTATCCACTTCTGAAAACATGCGGATGATCTCCCCAGCACGCTGAAATGGCATTCTTGACGCGATCTCTAGGAGCAGTCCTTGCCTTGCTCTGTGCAGCTTGTGGGCGTTGAGAAAGTTGGCGAACTTCTCAGGCGCCACAAACTTCAACTCATGGGTGGCTGTCTGGAAGTATGGGAACTCTAAAGCTTCAGCCATTGTAGGACGATCTGATTCCTGGTATTGAAGCATGGCTTTACACAAGGTCTTGCTGTCAGCACAGGTCTTCATATCTTCCCAGCGAGGACCTCGCTTGTGCAGCCTCGTCCAGGCTGAGGGTTGGATCGAACTGGCCATGAAGGGCAAGGCACCTGTGCAAAGCTCAAACCTTGGAGTCTTCAAATGAATCGCATGCATCGCTGGCAACAAGCACTATCTTCAAACAAGCCAAAACCACAAAAGCGTTCGTGGTTCTAAAGGTCACGTGGAAGGGTTTGTACGTCTGAGTGAGCAACTTGCACCTGGTAATTGAGCTCAGGTTCCAAGCAAAAACGTATTTTTCTTCAACGACCAGAGACATGATACATCCCAACGACCACACATCGCACTTTGGGCCAAAGTTTCCATTCCAAACCTCCGGAGCCATGGTGGTAGGGGTACCACCAATAAACCGCCCTGCCGGATCTGCCACGGAAAACATTTCAGCCACTCCCAGGTCGATGATTACAGCATGTGGTTTCTCCCATTGGTCCTAGGTCGCTGTTCTCACTGATGTCACTCAAATATACCGCAAAATCGGCAGCCAAGAGCCAAGCGTCTGGTTTTTCTACTTGTCTTACAAATATTCAGCTATCAGGGGCAAGCCACCGGCTTCTCAAGCAGCATGATGTTCTCATCTTTGAGATCTTTATGGATAAGCCGCAGGTTATGGCAGTACGCCAAGCCACCAGCAGTCTGTTGGATCACTTCCCGAATCCATGCTTCTTTGAGGCCGCGCTCATCCTGCTCCCAGCTTGAATGGCACTATCGCTTGCTCAGCAATTAACAAAACCCACTGACAAGGCAGTGTCAGGATTAAGATACATTGACATGCAAAGGCAAATACAACATATTTGCAAAAAAATACGGCAAGCGGTCCTTCTTGTTCAACTGCACAATGACGTCCTTTAGAGATCCTCCCTTCAGATAATCCAGGACTAAATAAACACGATTGGCATCCTCATACCATTCGAACAGCCGGACCATGTGGGGGTGGTCGATCTGACGCATGATCAAGATTTCCTGCTCAATTTCATCCAGAGGCAAGGCTGTGCGGCTTTTCTTCACCTGTCAGGCAAAGAATCTTTTCTGAATGCTTGCTGTGTGTGCTGGAATGGTTGAACTTCCAAAAAAACAGCTGCAAAGGACAAAGGAGTATTAAGGAGCATTGGAGTACCAAGCAACAGCTTTGATGACACGTTCTTCTCCATTCTGGATGTGAACCGCTTGGTAGGCCGTTCCAAAGGAGCCAGTGCCAAGCTGCTTTTCTCTCCGGTAGACATCCCATACATCTTGCTTGCCTTGCCATTCTGTCTGTCCGTCGATCGGAAGCAGAGCTTCTTGGAGCTACTAGTAGCGTCCTTGTTACTAGTGTGATGGATCCCCAAGCATTCAATTCTATATAGGCTTTATACATCTTTATACAGTATAGGTTGAAGTACTATTCAATCTTTAATGCAATACATGCTGAATGTAATCTATGCTGGCCAAAAACCTCTCTCATGCAAAGAGTCAGTCAAGAGATGTTGAAGCGAGCTAGCAGCTAGGTCGACTGGACCCAAACAACTTCATGGCACCTGAAAGAGGGTACCACAGCCTCCCTCCGCTCCCTGTTCACTCGCCTTTGGTGAGAAAGAACTCCCGACCCAGGACAGATCCGCGGTCGAATGCACTCCTCCGCAGCTGCGAGACCAGCAGCCTTGGAGCCACGAACGTAGACCCCGCTGGTTGGGAAGACCCTTTTAAGATCCCCAAGCCAGTCTAGGAACCCTTGTTGACTTTTGTGTTACGTACCAGGAACATTGTGAAGACATATGCAAGATTTGGATAGATTTACAGTAGTATGTTCCTATATGCTCCATGAGGATATTTATACTCAAGTGCCACACTCCAAACCTACCCCGCATTCTACAGATTCTACGCAGCCAAACAGTGCCGAGCAGCTCAAAGAAATCATGCCCGCCAAGCACTTTCCTGATGGACTTCAATGAACATCATCACGCAAAAGAAGTGTCTTGGGTCTTGACACTGACAAGACACCAAAAGATCAAAACATTTGAGTTAATGCCGAGATCAAAGAAGCGAGGCTCGGGAATTAGAAAGACTATGAAAGACTGTGAATGAAAGGGGAACGACCAATGACTCGTATGACTTGCTCACGGCTGAGATTCTTCCCAGTCGTGTCGAAGCGCTTCAACAAAGACTCCACCGTGTTCCGATCTGGCTTGGGTAGATCCTTAGCTTTGCAAGACTGAATGTGACCCACTGTGGGACCATGTAAAACTCACCAGTATATGCAGCAAGACAAGGATCCATATCTTCATGCAGCTGTTCAAGACATTTGTGCACTTCATCGAAATCTAATTGTCCGCTTCCATCCACATCACTTTTCCTGAACATCTCCCCAGCAATCTTCTTGAGGTCTGGTTCGCTAAGAAGCTCCAAGCATTTCCTTCGCATGTCGCGTGATTTGAAGGTCTTCAAGACCAAGGACTCCCTTCGGCCTCCGTGCCCAGGGCGCTTCTCTTCTGCTAGAGACTTCCCTGCGATTTGTAAGGTGCCGGAGATTGACTTTGTCATCGTGCCGGTCAATGTGCTGGCTGTTGTAGCCATGGTACCTATGGTATTCATGGTATTCGCTGGGGTGGGAGCTGCACATGGCCCTCCTCTCAATGTCAATGATCGGGTCGGATCCAGTCGGATGGAAGGCGAATTCACGATGAGTTGCGCCCGGGGCTTGGCTTTGCCAAAGTTTTTGCTGTAGGTGGTCATGAAACCTGGGCGAATGACATACTGTCGCTTTAAAACCGGTGAAAAAACAGAAGGAAGGGAAAGGAAAGAGAAAACATGCAGTCTCAGTGCAACGATGTTGTGACAGATATTCAAGAAAATGCATCAGATACTGCATTGCAATGTGTTGCTTCTCCTTTGTATATTCGACGTGAAACGTTCATCTTTGGCCGTGTCCACTTCCACCCTCTTCACTGTACTTGTCGGAGGTTTTTCGGAACCCCATGGGCCACCGATGCGATAGCCCATGGCTAGTCGCGCGACAGGCTTGAGCCCCTGGGGTGGACGCTGCCAGACACAAGGTTGCAGTCAACAGACACTTTAATCTTCCTGTTGGTCTCCAAAAAGTGTCAGCACTTCTATCTCCTTGGTCTCACTTCAAGAGCTTTAGATGTTGATGGACATGATTGTGGCAGGGAAAGCAAGTGGTTTTTGGTTCCGGTCCAAACCTCGCCTCCTGCAGCTTTTAATGGTTGAAGCTCGTGAATGCTGAGAGCCCTGGGTGCCCAGCCAATATCTAGCCGTTCAGCCAGGTTCTTAGCGCAAAAGTGCCGCACCGCTTGATCACCAAGCAGAAATGCATATATAATTACCTCTTTTTCATGTCTCGGCAAAAAGGAAAGAGGAAGAGCGAGAGAGCAAGAGAGAGCAAGCGAGCAAGGGAGCCAGCCAGCCAGCAAGCAAGCAAGCAAGCACGCAGGCAGGCAAAATAGCCAGGATCTTAAACTCCAAACTCCAAACCTTGATCGCTAAGGGGTGATTCTGCTCCTAGCTACAACCTGAAGTATGCTACAGAGGTTGGAGCGCACTGATAAGAATGAGGCTGATAGCTTGCTTGGTGGTGATGCCAAATTGAGATTCCACCCTCACCAACGGAAAAACCGATGGCCACATGAATTTCAGGCCTGGGCCTCGATCTAACCATGGGCGAGTTGTGTTTGCAACAGCTCTGCTCTCAGATTGCAAGGAGAAACTGTTGCTGAGTCTTTGGCGGGCTCGAAGAGCTCAACTCCCAGGATGTGAGGCAAATGCTCTGCATTAACCTTGGAGCCCAGCTCAGGTTTTGGACGTTGAACATCATTGAACAAAGCCTGGACGAGGTATTGCAAGTGTTGAACACTTCAGTCTAGACGCCTTGATGTGACCATCTTCATCAGGGCCACTGCTTGCCAAAGCTGCCTGCCACAAGCACTGCCGCAAATGGGGGTTGATTCAATATTATTTATGGTATAGTATGGTGTGTATGTATAATATATTATCCTTTTGAATACACCCTACGTCATCGCTGCCAGTTTGGGCCATGCAAATTTATATCCACTTAAAAAGAGACAAGCCCTCTCTCTGATGAATCTAGAGTCAGACTGTCCCACCATACTAACCCTGAAAATACGATGACCCCTGGGGGATTGCCATGGTGGCAATGTCCCTCTTGATGCAGAAGAAAAAAGGGAAGGTAAGGGCCTATCAGTTCTATTCTGTGAAAAAGCACAACATTATTGTGTAATTGATTGTTCCCCAGTGCGAGCTGTCAAGCCAAATAGACAATCAGGGTTTGAACCCGAGAGACGTCTATTTGTCAAGGCACCAACTTCAACTTATGTTGGTGCCGGTTTTCGCCACGACGAATCTACGTGTGATGCATCTTCGGCAAACAGGGTGGAGCGATTCTTTGGCTGTTTCTTTTCAAGTATGGGACCTCTCTAACATCGGCAAACCGAAAGCTTGTAAACAATGTGGAAGTCCAACAGTTTAGATCGTGACCGTCGGCAGCCAGAGAATGCGGAAGAAAAGTGGAAGCTTTGCGCCATTGTGTAAGTCTTTTCCTGTGCCTCTTTGGGGCGCAAGGCCTACCAAGTGGTTGTCTGGCTTTTGCCTCAAGGGGGTCCACCGCCCTTTTCTCATGGCCCGGCTTTACCTCAAAGTGAGGATTGGCAGGTGGTTGCTTGCTTGTTTGTTCGTTCGTTGGTTTGGTGTGCTTGTTTGTTTCACTGCCAAAATGTGAACCTGATCGCCTCTTGGAGGAGACAGCAGGGAATACTGTAGAGCCCCTACCCGCCTCTCTGGCCGCTTCTCGTCCCAAACCAGTTGGCACATCGACGCCCTGTGCGAGCCGTTGGCACAAGTCCGGTCGTGGAAAGTTCGAGCAACTCTGATTCAAGGGAATTTGGGGTCTGTGTTGTATGTGCTAGAGGCATCTAGAAGCCTGAGGCATTTTGAGGCCTTCTCTGATTGTACTGAGCGCTGAGAAAGCAGAGAGAAACCGTGAATATGCGGCCTGCAAACGCAAAGCCGCCCAGCGACAAATCCTCATCGAGCGCTGGTCACAGTAGCGGTGGCACATCAGGCACATCTATTGGAAGCAGTGAATCAAATGAACAAAACAACGAAACTATATATATAATCATTGGCGGCCATCGCTAGTAGCTTGGAAGCCATTGCTTCTAGGTTGGAAGCTATGAGGTTGGAGGAATCAAACAAATCACCCTCAATCCCCCTTCCACCCGCACTCAGGCTCCCCGCTGTGCCAAGTGGCGCTCCAGGGATCTGACAAACAAATCTTCAAAGAATGCCTTCTCATGGCTGGACAGTGAAGAAGACCCACTTCCGCTAATATGTATGAAGCAAGCATAAAGTAGATACCATCAGGTATTGGTTGTATTTGCACAAATCAAGTCTCCGACCACCTATTTCAACCGCCACCTATTTCGGCCCATGTCTCCGGCCCGGCCTCACGCCACTCTCGGCCGTCCAGCGGGTGACCAAGGCTTCCAAGGCCTCCTCGCTCACGTCCAGGATCGGAGCTGCGTCGCCCTGGTCCCATCCAACTGCAGGTTTTACAGGGTTTGATCCAAAGCAAGGGACTACGTGAGCAGAAACAGAACCGGCCTCCTTCTCCAAAGCATGGAGCTGCCGTTGCTTGGGAAGCAAATGGCTTCTACTGATGGCCACCTGCAGCTGATCTGAGGTTTCTGGGAAGTGTGAAAAGAGGCAGGCATCATACTGTAATCGCTGACCAAGACTACAAAAAACACAATATCAGATATGCAGAAATCAGCAGCTCTGCCATCCCAATGAACAATAGCTAATATACAAATTCTGGTATGTTCAGTCTCTAGATGTCTCTAGTGAGACGTGTGGAAAGAATCGACAAGTCAGTTGAAGACATACATGTTTAAGTTTAAATCAAGCAAGGCCACTTTAAGTGTGTTTAATCCAAGTCAAACATGCAAATTGCAATGACCGCCATCTAGACTGACCACAAGCAAGGGGCAATTCGAAGGTTGACCTATAGGAGAACCCCCCCAAAGAAAATAGACGACCATTTCAGATTGGTTGGCAAACAAAAAAGAATACGAAAGCGGCTCGATTGGTCCCCATAGATTCATAGATATCGGCCTTTTCCTCCACCGTGTAGCCCGACAAATCAATCACCTGTCCAATCCGAAGTGCACAATGTCTGAAGGTAAAGTCAATGATCTCAAATGCCCACATACATATACATTGCATATTGTATGTAGATGTTACATATATTACATTATCTACTGTATATATATATATATATTAGTTTTGTATATATTATAAACTAAACTTTATATATATATATTATATATATATACATATCCTCGTGCATCCCATCCACATCCTGCTTTCAGCTAGCGGAAGGGTCAGTCTCCACTTGCTAAGCTCAGTTTCTTTCATCTTCAATGTGGCAGGTTCTCGGTACATATGACTCATATGACTCTTCTGAAGGTCCAGACCTCCATGCGATCCAGCAAAGGCCGATCGATGGTGGAGGTGTCATTTGCAGTGCAAATGAAGATGGCGTTGGACCTCACAAGAGTGAATGTTCAATTGGTCCAGGTTGTGTTCAGTGGAGTGTTGCAATGACGAGAAACTCACATGAAAGACGTCCACATCTTGTAAAAAGGGTATCAATCTTCCCATCTCTAGTGATCCAGAAGCTACTAGGGGCTCCTGGCATCACTACTAGGAACAAGAAGCTACTAGGAGCAAAGGGCATCGCTACTAGGAGCAAGGACGCTACTAGTGATCCAAGCTCCAGGGTTGGAACCCAGCCCCTTCGGGGGCATCCGCGTGTTTCGACCCTTTGGAATGGCTGGTCACTGGGGCTGTCGCAGGTCAAAGGGCGTGTTCAAATAGTGGTCCTTGAATCACTTGGGACACGAAAAAGAATTCTCTTCCTTTCAGTCCTCGCCTGTCAACTAGCTTGGAAACTCATTGACCACTGGCTTGGAATGGCTGAGAACCCAACTGAAGCTGGCAAGCCAGCATGCTTATCGAATTGAGTGTCTTTGCAGTTGACCGCTCCATGACTCAAGACTCGACTCCACAATCATTGGCCCTCTCGCCTACCACAGGTCTCACTGTACACTACGCATGGTGCCTTGAAGGTGGTATTTTGCTCAGGATCCAATATCTCCAAAAGTGTTGCCTCCGGCATGACAAGGTGAGGGTGCCCAACAAGATCTCATTTGGGCGGAAACATCCCCTTCCTCCCCTTGCATTCACAGGACGACTTTTCAGTCTCTTAGAGACACAATTGCTGGGAAATGCATCTGTTGCGTTCCAGAAATATCTCATCGGATGCCAGGCTTTCCAAGGTGTTCAGTCAGCCGCCTGTGGATTGAACATCGAATTCTGCGAGGTTTTGTCAACCTGGCTCAGCTCATGTACGGTCATACTGTCAGTCATGACATCAATCACACTTGGAATCTTCGCCCAGAAAAGCAGCGACCAATGAAATTAAACGCAGGGTGACCGGCCTCATCCAAGAGGATGACAGGGTTGTTCACACCTAAAGTCTGGAAGGCCTGCAACAAGACTGAGCAAAGCAGTCTAGACTTGGAAGACTGCGAAGCCAACCAATAACTAGCACAGTTGGATCTGCTTGGTCGCTTGGCGTATGACACAGTGGCTATGCCTGGATAATGACACCAGGGATGCTTCCGATGTAAGCTCGTCCTCGAAGAACTCAAGACACAAGAGCTTGCAGTTGACCATGCTTCCGGTGTAGTCAGGAGAAACATGTCACTTGGTTTGCCAGAAACAATTATGCTCTTCAAGCTCTTGAAATGCAAAAACCAAGATTTCCCAATTCGTGATTGGTGACTTTTGTGCTTTCGTTACTCAAGACTCCCACAGAATGAAGCCATCTGAGCAGCCAGACGGTGACCCCGCAACTCCGCTTCATCTCGCACACCTGCCACAAGTGTTCAAGGTGGGCTCCGGAACTGTCGCAGATCGTCGGTTCCTTTTGGAGGAGCAGAAAGGGGTCTTTCCGCTTCCAATATTCATCGGCTTTGAGATGGCCCTCGCTCTGGAGCCACAGCCGACACCCGCAAGTTGGCCGCGTGCCAAGGTCGCATCAAGAGGATTGTGGACGAAGGGATCAGGCCACACAAATTGACGAAAATTGAAGAAAACGGTTTTTTGTTCTTTTGTTCAGCCCGTGGGGAAGTAGGCGGTAGCTAGGGAAGGTAACTAGTAGGGAGAGGTAGCTAGTAGCTACAAGTCGCTACTAGTATGGACGCAGGATAGCTCACGCTTCTTCAAGGAAGCTCCCCGCGCTGCCCTAAAGGCGGCGGGGGAAGCTTCCTTGAAGAAGCGTGTGCACTAATGATTTGGTTCCTAGATTTTTTGGAAAACTTAACAACAATTCACTAAGCCCATAGAACTGCTTGTCTGCTACTCGATGCCATCCGCGCGCCGCGCCTCCCAATGCAATGCGATGGAACTTCCGGCCTCAGCAAAGTCAGCGAAGAAGCAGGTGCACGGAGACGTGTGGAGACACTGCAAACAATTGACTCCCGACATCGTTGGAAGTCTCGAACTCGTCTCGTTAAGCCCTTAAAGCTCTACAATGGCGGAGTGGCCATCTTGACTGTTTAGGATGACCAGTTTTTGGATCCACTAACGGAACGCCTGAAAAGAAACCGATGAATGCCTGTGTCACGGACCAATGGCTCGTGCAATTGATCGCCCCAGTGACGTCTTGCCTTGACCCAAACAATGGACACTCAGAGGGCAGTTCGCCAAGCAATGTGACACTGAAACCAACTGTTTTGGGCTTGAAATGTGTTCTTGATTCACCTTTAATTTAAGGTCTGTGCTTTATGGTGCTTTATGGTGTGCTTACTGTTGTGCTTTATGTTTACAATATGACATGAACTATGTTGTTTGCCAGTGAACTATGCAGGACTCCAACCAGTGATTCAAGAGGCTCAGCCGCACCGGCCCAACTCACAGCTGCAGCTGTATGCACCTCTTTTGAGGGACTCTGGTAGCTACTAATTGCAGCTTGCTTTGTCAGGATTCAGGATCTATTGGGGGTCTTGCAAATGTTTGAAGCTCCCAATGTGAGAGATGGCTTCAATGTATCTAGAATCTAGTGAATCTAGTTGAGTCGGGCCTTGTGCAACTACACTAGGTGTCCTTTAATTCGCTTTCCTCATCTTCCTCACACATTCTCACTCTCTCCAAATAGAATCAGGTCACAAGCTACATTCAAGGACAGCTGGCTGAATGATGCCCTGTCTGAAACACTGAAACAGCCGCCCATCAAATCGCAATACCAGTACCGAGCTGCCAATGCCAGGAGGACCTTCGAGGGAACCAGCAAATGAGAAAGCATTGCTCTGCCCGCTGCACTTGCATGGACGATAAATTGTTTACAGTTTACACAAAAAAAGAGAGAAAGAGAGCGAGACAGAGAGAGAGAGAGAGACAGAGACAGAGACAGACAGAGACAGACAGAGAAAAAGAGAGAAAAAGAGCAAGAGCGAGAATGGCACTAAGGATGAGCGCACTGCCTTGGCCGCCTGGACACAAGGATCGTTGCGAACTCACTCTGGTGGGCAGCAGGTGATTGCCTTCCAGAGCCATGGCAGGTGCAGGGCAACGGCTTGGAACTGTGGGCCAAAGGGCTGCATTGGGACGGAGCAAAGAGTATGTGGTGGATGGCACCTGCACCGCCTTGGTGCCAGGCCAGGTCACCCAGACCAGAGCCTATATCTATGGTTGCTGGTTGACCCTGAAGACCATGATGGGCCCGCATCAGATCTGCCTGGTGTCCAAAGCGGACTGGACCTGCAGGCGGTCCCTAAGTATGATGCCATTGCTGACATTTGGCACAGCTTGGGCACTGAAGAATAGAGGAGGTTGCTGACCTATCACGCCTCGGTGACACAGCTTAAGGATGGATCCAGTATGTGGCAGCCAAGGGCATTGTGGCCAGGCTGCCTGAGTTCCAGCCCACTAACAGTCAGAAAGCTGAACAGCTCACGGATGACACCCTTCACAAGGAGGTGTACAGGATTACCATGAAGCGGGTCCCGGCGCTCCTTCAGGATAAGGATCACTACATGGCTGAGGCTGGCCCCACCACCGTCCGACAGCCAGGTGCCTGGACCGAAGAGAAGGTTACGCATTGATGTCGTTGCTCGATTGGTGCAGAGGCTGCGGTGCAAGTCTTGCAACAGACGCATCAAGGCCACCCATCAGGAAATTGAAGACAAGAACATCACGATCTGCACCAAGGCTCCCAAAGATCGAAATCAGCTGTAGGATCAGCTTGTCAGTGACACAGCCCACCAGGTGGTGCCTATCTGTCGGCCACTGCTGGAATGTTCAAAGGCAGCATGATTCGCTGTCGAGGACCCGCCATGCCAAGAACACCAGGGCATGCCGAAGAGGGTTTCTGCGACCCACCACCTGATCCGCAGAGGCCACCAGATTGAGTGTGAAGGATGTTTGAAGACATCCATGCAGGAGTTGATGAAGCAATGGTTTGCCGAAGTCTGCCTTGCACGGCAGAAGAAGCTGCAGTTCCCGGTCTCCACCAGCAGTTCATAGAAGTCCACTTTTGGCCAAAGGGCGGTGGCACGCTTGCAGCGGACACCAAAGAACTGTGCACAGACAGAGAGAGAGAGAGAGGGAAAGGCTTGAGCAAGTCAAGTCTACTAGCTTCTTGTTACTACTAGTAACAGTAAGGCACTTGTTTCTAGAAGCGATGCACTTGTTCCTAGAAGAATTCAAGTCAGCTCAACAAAAGCGGCTTTCTGAGTTCCATGCCATGCAAACACAGGATAGGCCCTTTCAGATTACCTGCCGGACATGCTCGTTTGATGCCATCGCTTACAAGAAAGCAGCTCCACTTGGCTCATGAAGCACGTTTCACAAATCCAGCTTGGTCGCTCAGCAGCTCCGCTTTTTGGCTCTGTCCACAGATCTTCTGCACGAGGCACCGCAGCCCCCCAGGTGCAGTTCGATGGAAGGCCTCATCCAGCATGTCCAGCAAAGCCTTGACAAGGTCCAGTGGCCCAATGGCCCGTGGCGGGCAGTCATGAGTGTCAGCTGGGTCTTATTTGGTCACCCAAACCACTGTATTCATTGGTCTAGGCACAGGCCTAATTAGAAAGGTATCTGAAGATTCAAGATGTATGACTCAAGCAGGCTAGCGTGACTTCTTAGCTTTGCATAAGTCTTTTAGTCCTGACCTCGAGACCTCTAATCTCATTCTCCGTGGTCGACATCTCTTCACGCCTTTGTTGCCCGTAGACTGGAGGCACTCTCGGAAAAGCTCCTGTCAGTCGATCATATCTCCGAGGCAACCAGAATACAGGAGCTGGTCCGAGCTAGTGCCTTTCTTTCCCTTTTTGTTGAGACCGCCCTCAATTAAGTAGGCGCCTACTTAATTATATAAGTAAGGGAGAAGTTCGCTCCTAGCTACTTAAGCTACTACATACTGAACTGAACGCGGGATGGCTCACGCTTCTTCAAGGAAGCTCCCCCTGCTCCCCCCGCCTGAGGGCGGGGGGAGCTTCCTTGAAGAAGCACTCGCACTAGTTACACTAGTTTCTTTGATTCCTTGATATTTTTTTGGGAAGCTTAACATTTTTACAGGAGCTGGTCCCAGCTAAATTGTCTCGCGACGCACTTGCATGTCCAGCTGACTTCTTCTGTCATGTATATCTATCAAGCAAATCTTTTGTTGTGGGTGAGACCTCTCTCTTTTTCAATCTGCAAACACCAGCACTTGAAGTACATCTGTCTCTGTTTTAGGCATGCAACTACAATCGCTGAATTCCCAGGAAACGAGCAGGCTGGAGGAAATTTGGGTTTGGTTTCCAAACACATCCAACTTCCAAAAGGCTACCAAACAGCCTGCACGGGCTGGCAGGGCGTTGAACGCTTGGCTTCTGCAGATATGTATTCTTTCAGAAAGCGCTGGGCCACAAAAAAATCTTGTCAAAATATGCCAAAGTTGCTGGTGACTTGTCCTGTTCAATCACGTCTCGCACTTTCTCAGCATCCCTGCTGTATGTCATCGGTAAGCCCTTGCTGGATTGCTGGGCTGGTGCTTTGAGGAACCTGAAATGCTGGTTCTTTTGATGTTAAAAATGAAGAGCTTGGGAGGATTCAGCTGCCCTCAGGTTGCCTGAGGGATCCTGGCAGTCATGCCCCGAGCCTTGTCTGCAGGCCTTCTGCTTTGCAAGGCCAGGCACATTTCTGTGGCAAGTTGCTTGCAAAGCAAGCATTACAGTAAGTATGAGTCCGGTATGAGGCAAAAGCTAACACAAGCCCGATTCTCAATCTCCGTTCTTCGCTGTTCTGGCTCGATGCAAGGTGAAACAACTCATGAGAGCATGAGGTTTAGTTCTGCGGTTCTGGTGACACGAAGAAAGCTCTCAGACTCCCAGCAAACCTGCGGTGCGAACTTCAGCAGCCACAAGTAGGCCCAGTGGGCAACAAACCGCGGAGACCGGAGAGGAGCCAATGACTCACTGGGAGATGAAAAGCATGTTTAAAAAAAAAAAAAATCACGATGATTCAAGAGTATCATATAAAACATCACAACGATGAACATACGATGAAATGTTGCTGTGCACGAGAAGTGCTGAGACATTATCTACTATTAAATGATACAGTTACAGACCTTGTACTGTTCCTGCATGCCTTTGAGAGTTCCAGGAAAATGACATTCAGGCACAAATTTAGGCCATCGCTATTTGGTGGGAGGCCATCGCTTCTAGGTTGGAGGGCAGAGCGGCCCTTAAGAAATGTATCGTGAGTCTCATCCCGTCCCCAAACTCTGCCTCCAAGAGGAGGTCTCATCGCCCAATCCGCCGCTCGGACTTTTCTCGGTAGAGCAATGGAGCTTGTAACGCAGAGTATCCATCAATCAGCTGTGTGCTATTTGTCATTCAAAGTCCCTGGTTCAGTGGTCTTTTACGCAGCAAAGTACGCAAAGTGGTGGAGCCAACCATGAGACGTGCACACACTGTCTGGGTGATCACAAAAACTGATGGCTTTACAGAGCAGATTTGATCTTCTGCGTTCCTATGATTCCTTTTGCCAAGCAACGTCCCATCTTTACAATGCCACCCCTCTCCTTGCTGTTGCTCCTTAGTGATGCTGGGGCGAGTTGAGACCTGATTGCCCACTCTGGCTCCCCAAGAATGGAAAGCATATGGGCATGATTCGGTATGTTGACAGCTTTAACCAAAAATCAAGAGGAGGTTGGGCATGGGTGGCCTGCCGATCTGAACAGGCCAAGAGTCTTTTCCTTGATCTTGGAGTTCAATTGCCCAACGGTGCCCTGGATTTCTGAAATAATCCGCTTGGCCAATGTGTTGATGTCTCGGACCTCAATTTTCGGGCTGGACAAACAAAGGCGTTGGTCTCAAGAGTCTATCTTCAGTGACACTGGCAGGCTTGATGATATGCCGCGCCATTTCTATTGGAGGACGGGCCGTCAAGGCGTCGGCGTGACAGGTGTCTAGACACCTTGTGGCTTCTTTCAGTTCTGAGACCCAGGCAGTGGCAGTGTTGGAATCTCGCAAAGCTAGAATGATTTCCGTAAATTCAGCAAAAGTCAAGGAAGGTGTCCTTAGCTGGCTTGCGGAGTCAGGACAAAGACCTGTTTCTTGTAGCTGAGAGAGAGAGGTAGTTTCTTCTTGGGCGTCAGTGAGATCACAGCGCCGTTGTAGTGCAAACTCCTTGCTCTAAATCAAGTGGGTTTATGCTCGTGACTCATGTCCTTCAGTTCCAGTGGATTGATCTCCGTGGGCCGTGGACCAATGATAAAGTTCTTTTTGAGCTGATAACCCATTTGCTGTTGTTGGTCGCTCACTCACCTGCCCCTGTGAGCCTTGCCATCCAAACGGTCAGAGTCAACACCTGTACAGTATCTTGAGATGCACTTTGGGTTTAGGCTGAACCCGGTCCGTTTTCAGCTGAACTGCCATACTCACTGGAGAATGCATGTGGAAATGGCCTCCTCAAGCGGATTGACGCTGTAACTGCAACTTTTTAAATATAGCGATACATTGAACTGATTTCGAACTCTGGCTTCACGGATCCCCTGGCTTGGAAGGGAGCGATGGAGGTTGGAGGAAAGGCGGGCAAACTGTCATTGCCCCGAACTATCGCACAACATCGTGAGGACTCGTCTGAACAAAATATACCTTCGTCTGAAAAGAAATAGAACAAAGATGAGTACCAGCCAAAGGGACGAAAGTATGCGAAAGTCATTAGCTTGACACGTCTTTTGGTTGCAGCTGTTCTTTTGCATCGCAGTTTGCATGCAGCAGCTAACTGTTTCAGCATCTGCTGAGGTGTGAGATCTGTTGTGACTTTTATGTTTCTTCGCTATAACCATTGGCAGACTCTCGACTTCAAGCATGTGCTAGTAGGCTTTGAACAGTCCTTGATCCTCTCCTCTTTTCGTGTTTGTGGTGGTAGGAACTGTTGAACGTATTCCATACATGCTAGCTTGTTCACTCCTCACAAGGCCATTGCATATAGACCAAATGTCACTTCAGAAAAATACTAAAAACACAATGAAGCATTACATAATTAGATTTAGATAAGTGGTCGGGTAGAAACCACCAAGGACGAAAGAGCACAATCAAACATATGCATCATGGATACATTCCTTCACTATAGTCACTATCCGCACAAAAGGAACATCATGTGTAAAGCAAGCGCACACACACACACACGAAAGGTATTAGATTTCTCGCAGTGGCCTGAAGACGTTTAGGCAACTATCTATACTACATTGGAGAACTTGTGGACGTTGAAACTACAGCTCAAAGCAGATCACAATCCGAGGGACGGCAAAGTGGCAATTGCACCTAAAGAAATCAGTTCAGTCAAATGGCTCACCGAAGATTAGCTGTGGCGTCTCGAGCATGGCGATCACATCGATGCCCAAAGCACGCATCCCCATCAAAGCCTCTCTCCTCAGATGTCCGCAGCAGCGACCCTGAGGGCCCGTACAAGCAAGGTATCTGATTAAGGACATGGTAAGTAGGAGGTGTATTCCATGCACTTCGGGGTCACCCTGTTTCACTGCACCATCTGTTTTGCCGCCCAAAAAGTTTCAGCTGCTGCTGCAGAAAAGCTTCTTGTCCAAAAGCTTCTTGAACCTCAACTCCATGTGCACAAGAAGGTCCAAACACAACAAACCGAACAGGCTGGACCTCACATGTGCCTCTTGTCGAGAAATATGCTCAAGCAAAAGCGAGAAGCATGTCTGATGGATTCACCGATGCCTGATCTGAACGGAATCCCTATGAGTATCAGTATAATGCTTGTCTTCTAGATGTGCACTAAAGTGAGATGGTGTCCATCCGTTGTAATTTGTGCCGCAATGAACATAGTGTTGCCTGTATCTGTACTATTGTGATGTACTCCACGACTCTGCGAAACTGCTTATTGGGCAAATGAGAATTGCAGTATAGTTTCTGTATTCCGTGGTGTTTGTTAAAGCATCTGCCTTGTGTAGAATGTGACAAGGTGCATTTTACAGTGCATCGTGTATCAAATTGTGAGGGTCCGAGAATCCACGCACCGTCGCAATTCTACTAGGAAAGCTCCTGCTCTGAGGTAAACTACACAGCTAGAATCTATTAGCAGGACTTGGAACTCCTTGAATCAAGGGCCGTTTCAACCAACACACGCAAGCACACAGTATGACAAGCTGAGTTTAGCCCCACCCCCTCTGCAAGAGCAATCGTTATGTAGTAAGGTTGAAAGTATCCTACCACTCCGCCACACCCAATTTGAGGTGGCACCAATTCAGTTCAGGAGCTGATCGA